TTTTGCATCTGCCGCATGGAGGAGATGAAATTGTTGAAGTCGTGAGAAAAATGCAAGTCTTTCCACGTTGTACAGCGGAGCGAAACTGCTGATTGAGGTCAGAGCTGGATTTCAACCCTGATTTCAAAAAATCGTTCATATGAACGCGTTGCGGAATCAGATCCTGTGAATCCTGTGATCTACAGTTGATTATTGAGACAGCGCGCGAGTTCGATCCCCGACGCGGACTTTTTTCGAACATTTTGGTTGCTAACCTAACATCCTTGGGCCTCGTGATACTGGTTGAGGAGTCGTCCAAGTGGCAGCTTGTCCTTTGGGATGTTGCTATTGCACCAGGCGACAGCAGAGCCACAGTCGGAGCTGAGACTGACGTTCTACACTTTCAGACCTAACTCCACCAAGCGAGCGATCTTCTTCAAGGAACTCACTCACAAAATTCATACCATACATTGCCGGTGGAAGGGTATCCTTGCCGAGAAGAAGGCGACTAACATGATTGGCGATGTTCGGGAAGACCCCGTCAACGCAGACGATACCATTTTCCACGTAGTCGTTGATGGCCTTCACAAACGACGTGTCCTTGGCCCCTATACAGTGAGCAACATCAATAAGGAAGGAACAACGGCGACAATCAGCGAAGCGGGACAGAGATCAGAAGATGAGAAGAGCGCACCTATCTGGCAACTATTCGAGCCTCCATCACTAGACGTGGTCCGAAGTAACGAAGACCTGGATGATCCAAGTTGGATCTTCTCCGGCCAAGGGTTACGTTCATCACCTCTTTCGGTAGGCCTCAGAACATATGGAAGAAACGATACTACGGATACATTGACCTAGGCAAAGTCGTTGAGGAAGATGGCAATATTCTCACCATTCAACGCTACTTTCTCGAGACTGTTGGCATGATAAGAATGTTGATCATGAAAGAGTCGAAATTGAGGTCAAGAGAGCCGACATCTGTTTTACTGGTGATGAAGTTAAGTTCGACAATCTCGATCTCGGGCTCATCTGCACTCTCGATGGAGGCTATGACTGTAAGGGAGATCAAGCCTGATGCTGTCGAGATCGCTGTGGCCAACTCCACACTTACTCCTGATCAGTCTCTGAGATATATATGGAGTTATTAAGTCACCACAGCAAGGTCTTGCAACGAGAGGCTTACGTCGACGACTTGTTGCAGCTGGAGTAGACGAGTAGGACTAGAAGGAGCTTAGCAGTCCGGGTTGAATGTCCACACACGCGGAATTGCAACCCGATAAGTGTATATGATATAGTTGAGACACTGCTGAGGGTCTATGACTCGGCTCCAGATCACCAAACACAATTACCGCACTGGCTCAAGTGCAGCATATACTCTCATTTGGTTACAGCTCCGGAACCAAGTATCACTTGTACAGTATCAGTAATTTGTGGTTTGGGTCATCTAAAGCCGGGGTTATACATCCACCGCAGTGTCTCAACTATAGCATATACATTTATCTGGTTGCAATTCCGGAACCTAGTATCACCCGTAGAATATCGGTAATTGTTTGTGATAACCTGAATCCGAATCATAAAACCAACTTAGTGTCTCAAATACCGCATATACACTCATCTAGTGACAGTTCCAGAGCTTAGTATCACTTGTGGATTATTGGTAACTGTGTTGGATAATTTGAGTCCGAATAATAGATCCACCGCACTGG